AGATTGTGCTTTTGGTGGGGCTGAACTCACTTTTGCCTCAGAGGGGTAAGAAGTAGAAGAAATGTCTTGGTTTCTAGTAATAACACCAGATTTCTGAGATGGCACTGGCTGATTTTTTTGGGCTTCCTTTTCACGCAGTACCGCTGAAGTGTGATTCTAATTAATAATTATAGAAGTACATAGCCAGGGATGAAATACCTTATTTGATTTTTCAACTAAAAAAAACAAGAGAAGAGGAGCAAGAGGGGAAAAATAGAAGTAGAAGTAATGAGATGGCATTTACAAATTTTTTAATCCATGACATTTTCTAGGTTTTAAAGAATTCTTAGGGGTAAAAATAAGTCACTTCGGCTTTTACCAAAACAACACAATGTGAAGTTGCTATATCAGGGGCAATTGGTATAAAACTATATCATACTAGGTAAACTATCCTTTGTTTCAGTCCTTAAGGAGACATAAAACCAGGTCTACCATTTTCTGATCATAAAGTAGCTAGCCTGCCCGTCATAAATAATTTTTTTATTCAAAAGGCACCCAAAATTAATGGGATTCTCATCATAAAAGTCTAGAACTTGAAATTTTGGCTATCTCTATACATGTTGGACCATTCCCAGTCCTATAAACAGAATCGTAATGGATTATGAAATTCTTTTTCTCGGATCATTTGAGTGGATCCACTACTAAGTTGTTTTTACTTGAATTCCCATGTCCACTGCTTCACACTCACCATGTATTGTATTTTTTACCATCATTCTTCTCCTTAACAATGGATTTTGTGTTAATAATCAATGTTGTTTCGATTTTATATGAAATTTATCTGATGATGTTGTGTGTTGCAGATTCCTAGGCTTTATTCTGTGTTAACACAAATACTGGTCATAAAGGCCATTGAGGTGCATCAAGTGGCAAAGCTAACTCTATAAAACATGAGGAGATGTCCTTGCCAGTTCTGAAGGTAAGGGCACCCAACGATTGATAGTTCTGTATATCATGAAGCTTTCTGGACTTCAATTTTGTAGACTAATTAAATGATGGAAGAAATAGGCAAGTCTAGGACAACTCGATTTTTCTGTATAAAACAATTAGCGCACACACCCTGTCACTGTGAGGGAAAAGAACAGGCACATTCTCTTTTATTCTGAGGATGTCTGATTTAGCTGCTATAATTCTGCTGTTGTCGCTAAACTTGTCTTGTTTCTGAAGTGTTTCTGAAGGGCAGTTTTGTGTAACAAGTTAGCCTGCATTCATGCATCATCCACAAGGTTATTTTGAGTGGCTTAGTGTCTCTCAGAGATGCAAAAAATCATAGCGGTTGAACATATACATCCAAGGATTTCTTGCATCATTTTTTTTGTAAGTATTTATTTTGAGATTGGTGGTCTGCCAAACTATTTTAATAGCTCGATTGTCTCCTAAATTAAACACACTCACCTATAGTTTAATAAATCACCTTAATATATACTTTTTAATCATTTAATAACAATTAAGTATTATAACCTAGGAGCTGTGGCATTTATTCAAGATTGATGCGCAGAACAAGAAAAATCATAAAATCTTCATTCATGTTCCATGCCACTCCCCTTTCGCAGTCACCCGCGTTTGGGCTATTGTAATAATTTTTGGGGCAGGTTTAAATTGTAAATGGTGTGAACCACGGGGTGTTTGGGAATTTTTAAAAAAAATATTATTTTAATATATTTCAGAAAAAAATATTTTAAAAAATAATTATTATAAAAATAAATACTTTTAAACACCACTTGCATCTATTAGTACTTTAGGACCCTTGGTGTCCTCGCTGGGGTGCTTGATTGTAACTGGGCTTTGTACAAATTGTAGACGAGAACCATTTTCTTTCCTTTTTGTATATTCAGATATTTTGAAATTTGAAGTTTACAAGCCTTTTATATCATTATTTTTATGAAAATAAATAGAGAAAATTTAAAAAAGAAGAAAAATTAGGGTTATTGAATGAGAATGATTATTCTCTAACAAGTACACAAGGCTCTAGCTGTTCCAGTTACAAAGGATAGTTGCTCTCTAAACAAAGCACCCCTCAACTCCCCGTTAACCTTGTTGTTGATCTTTGTGACCAATTCCTATGGGTTGACTGTGACCAAAATTATGTGTCCTCTACAGACCATCCAGCACTTCGGGGCTCAGCCCTTGCTCATTTGCTAGAGCTGATGGTTGTGGTGATTGCTCCTCAGGGGCTAGACCAGACTGCAACAACAGCACTTGCGGTCTCACGCTTGACCACACAGCCGCTGCCAAATAGGTCAAAACCTAGCAGGGAAGTGTCCGTGCCACGATTCCTATTCTATTGTGCCCCGAGTCTCACCCATATACACCACTCTTTTTAACTCAATAAGCACAGCTTCAGCCTAGACAAGCCTTTCGCTGAGTATTTCATTGGTGTGAAGTCTACACGCTGTTTTGGAGGCATCTATTGTCAATGCTGTGACTACGGTACTTATCGACGAGGCTGCAGCTGTGAGCATCGCTAGAGTGGCTTCTGTGGCACCTGTGTGCTTTAGCAGAGAAAATATTCTCAGCACACGTTCGGGGCCTGCTGTGCCAACCATCCCTCTTGTTTTGCAGTATGAGAAGGTGATTCAGAGGATATTTGCTGAAAATTCAATGGGGCAAGGTAGTGATGATGTGCTGTGTCTCGGATTTGTTAACGTTGGTTCAAGTCCCACGACTTCAACTGTTGTTTATTTTTTAATCTATTTTAGAAAAAAGAACTTTGAAGATTACATTATTACTATAAAAAATATATAATTCAAGGACTAAAATGAAACATGATATACAGAACTGAGGGTGGATTTGCTTTCTAATACTATATGATATTACAATTTGTCGGTGGAATTGTGTCCTTAATTTTGTTTTTCCTTTCATTTATTAGCAAAGCTCCCTCTCAATCATCCCACTCCCCTTAATAGGGTTAGAGGATTAATTTATATAAAAAAGGATTAATTAGCAGTTGGTTAGCAAAGCTTATATATTTCGAATATCTTCAAACACTAAAATATGATAGAGATGTTCATAAGCTCAAACTTGTATTTCATAATCGTAGTCTTTTTTGTGTAATTAACGCAACCGATGCAGAGATTATTTGTTCTCATTTTTTTCCATAATTAAAAAAAAAAAATTAAGGCAGAAAAGAGCTGAGCCCTCTTGCTTGACATTGCATTTTGGTGCGATACTCCACCAAGTGACCTTACAAATTATTTAATCTATCACTAGAGTAAAAGAAACGATATAAATGATATAAATGAAAGGTGGTTAATTTTTTAGTGTAATTATTATTATTTTATTAATAATATTTTGATTTAGATATTTTAGTATGGAGCGTGTTTGTCATGTCAAATTATATTTATTCATAATATTATAATTATTGATTATTTGAGTAAGATTTAAAATTCTTTTCAAATTTCATTCTACATTTTATAAAGATTTAATAATTAATATTATCTGAAAACACGCAAAATATTTTTTTTAATTCACTTTAAATGATGAATCATTTCTTAATCATTCAAAATCTTTATATAGTTTAAGTTATATACAATGTTTATTTATTTATTATATTTATCAAAGTAATATAATCAAAACATAACCCCATTATATAAAATAATTAAAAAAATTTAAATTTAAAAATTATTTATACCCTCACGTCAATCTTTATATAGAAACATATAATATCTTAAAAAAAAAACTCAGCATCGAGAACTTCTAAGTGAATCCATTACCAATCCCTACGTTCCCTGTAGAAAATAATATTTTTCTAAGTAACGTCAATTTACGTAAAACTCTGGAAAGTGACTTTATAACTTACACTAAAACAAAGGCCAATAATTGTAAATGGCCTCTGAATAAAGTGTGCCATGTGAACAAAGTGAATTATATTCCTTGACATGCTATGTGCTTAAATATCAAGCAAAATTGTTAGAATATGACATGATAGAAATTGTTGCCTTAATTTGGTTAGCGTAGCAAGGAACCTGGTAGCCATGTTTGCAAGAAGATTAATAAAGTTACAAGCTACGAAGAAGAAGCCAATAGACTTGACAAGCCTGTTTCTCTGTCAGCCAGGAATCGTAAGAAGGTGATCCAAACTCTTGCTATAGAGACCCACTCGTATATGTACTTCATGGCTTAATTATTGGAATAGACAGCGCTCTCTCCTTCCTTTAAATTTAGAATGTATTTGGTATCGAGTTACTGTGACTCTAGTTTAAAAAAATTATTTTATAAAAAATATTTTTAGTTGAAGTTGATTTAAAATAATAGATGTTTGATTAAAATTGTAGTTGAAATTAAAATTGAAAAAAAAATAATTTAATGTGTTTGATTAAGAATGCTTTTAAAATTGAAGTTATAAGATAATTTTAAAAAATATATATAAATTTAACTATTATTATTACATCACGAAATAAATAATACTTTATATAAAATATTTTTTATTATTCCATTAAAATATCTATAATTTCATCACGTATGAAATATATCCGATAAGGATTACAGTTTTTGTGGTTTTTTAAGCGAGCAATAATATCAGGTAAAATATAATCAAGAATAAAATTAGAATTGCGATCAAATTCTGCAAATGCTACATCATCCAGTGATCTCTGTCTAATTTATATAATGTCATTGAATAATGTTAAACACTAATTTTTTAAATAAAAAACAACTAAAAACTTAAAAATAATTTTTATTTTACTGGGTCGGACTTGGTTCAATGCATTTTAAGTTTTGAACCGGAATCGCTCCGACCAAAACAGTATAGCCAGCTACAATCAACAGTGTAACGTGCATACACTGTTCACATAAATAGTATATACATATTTATAAATATGTAACAGATCGATTACAACAAGAATATAAAAAAAAATTGAAGAAAAATAAATAAGAGAAAAGATTCTCAAGAAAAGAAACTCTATCAATTCCTAAGAAGAAACAAGAATAACAAACACACTTCATTATTTAATATGATCATGCTTCAACAAGTCATGTCAATTTTATAAGACATATTTATACTATTTCTTTCTTTTTTCCAACACCACTCATCTTTCCTTCACCCTAACCTGCAACCCAGACTTCATCCTAAGTGTTAATGACAAGACATGCTCTGGACACTTTAAATTTTGTACATCTATCTTAAACCGCTCAATCACTGATGCTGCTATTGATTTCATCTGAATATAAGCCATATGTTTCCCGAGACACATTCTTGGTCCGGCATGGAATACCGGAAACTTGAATGGACTCTCTTGCCTATATATTCCATTCTCTAGCCATCTTTCAGGCAGAAACTCTAGGCAGTTCTCGCCCCATATACTCTCCATTCTTCCCATGGCATAAGCACAGTATACTACAAACCATTTTCTTCCGACAAATGCACCATCCGGCAATACATCATCACTTCTGCAAGCCAAGATATCCACTGGTACTGATGGGTACAATCTTAATGTCTCTGATATTGTTGCGTGCAAATAATGCATGTTTCGGAGCTCCTCAAAACTGAAAGCGTCGCTGATCTTTTTTCGGTTGCGTGACCGTATTGTTTCAAGCTCCTTTAATAAGTTACTTTCCACATCCGGGTTTAATGATAATAGCCAAAAGAACCAACTCAAAGCTGAAGATGTTGTGTCTCGCCCTGCAAGAATGAAGCTTATGACAACATCTCGGAGAAATTCATTCGAATACTCATCATTTCCTATAAACCGGGATAGTAAATCTTCATCTTTTTTTTCCATCTTTTGTTCCATTCTAGACTGTATGATCTTGTCGGCGAATTCATGGACAATTTTAATTGATTTTTTCAATTTTCTTTCGGACCCAATGTTGAAAAACTTGTAGAATTTCCAAAGAAGTGGAAGAGAGCACAGGAATCTCCCTGTACTAAGTGCGGCAGCATCGTCAAATGCTTGCATAAACTCACTGCCGTCAGTTCTATCGCCGCCAAGACTAGCAGGATCAACATTAAAAGCCACTTTACAAATGTTATCAAATGCGAATCTCTCCAACATGTCTTGCAAATCCAGTACTTGTCTTGTTTCCGAGGCTTTTGCAAGAATTGGAACTAACCTCGTCGAAATTTCAACCACCACGTTATCCATGACAAAATTTCGAAGTGACTTTGTGTTGAACATATAGCTAGCAGTCTTTCTTTGGACCCTCCATAGCTCACCATTCGAGTTAAAGATTCCTCGGCCAAGGAAGTCTTCAAGCGTGGTAGTAAGCAGTTCCCCTTTCGGGTAGTTCTCGAAGTTGGTCTTGAGAAAGTATTCAACATTCAAAGGGTTGGCAGTGATTATACCAGGTTCTATGCCTGGAAGGCGAAGGACATCAGTGTTTCCGGGGCAATGGCTGAGGGTTTCAGTGAACCAGTCATGAACACGGGCACGGTTTTTTATGAATTCCGGTAAGACCCCTACTATAGGGTAAATTTTGAAGCCCTTGTTGGTGGGTTTCTTCTGTGAAGAGGTGATAACGTAGAGGTAGATCCAAAGGGAAAGAAGGAAGAGTATTATAAGAAGTTGAACTGATGAGACTTCCATGTTTGGAAAAGAGAGACAATGTAAGACAAGGAAAGGAAGGAGGTGAGATCTAAGATTTAAGTCTTGCGTTAATCAATCTACTGATAATATAAAAAAACCATAACGGAGAAAATAAAAGATAGAGCGAAGAGAAATCCAGAAAAATGTTCTTACAGAGAGAAATAGAAGAAGAGAGGATTCATGCACAGAGAAAAGATCAAAATTCTCAAGAAGGTGTACAAATTGATCATTTGTTGCCTATTTATATAGAATAGGCTATGGCACAATCTATTATATTATGACAAGGATAGAGGAGTTTTGTTGGGAAAATAAATATTTTTTATAGCTTTTTAATTCAGTTTATATATTTTGTTTTTTTTCCTACTTTTTTTTTCTCTATTCATTAATATTATGCTTTTAGAGTTTTTTTATTTAAGAAGAATGTTTTTTCCATTCAATTATCATTACAGTTTTCTTTTTTATATATAAAGGTTTGTAATAATATTTTGACAAGTAAAAACTTGGTTGATTAAAAATTAAATATTTTAAATCTTCTCATTGTTGTGGTGTCAATAAATTTTTAGAGTCTTAGCTTGTGACAAATCTGGTTATCATTCATTCTCTTCTACATTAAATAAGATCAAAGCTTTATATTAGTTGATATTAAAACCCAATCATTATTGATGGTTTTGATTGAAAGTTGTAAAGGACTTATATTAGATCTTATTAATTTTTAATGATTAGTTATTATGTGTTGTTGAATAATCATGGCTGCAAAAAGTTGTAGAACAAGACATGCTTATGTGTGAAAGGATGAAAATGTTGTTTAGAACTTAGTATATTGTTTCTATCTATGTTAGCTGCTATCATTAAAGATGTCGGTATGGATCTTCAATGGAGTAATATGCACAAAAATATTATTTTAAGAATTCATAATAAATGTGGCTTCCATAAAAAAGATGTTGGAATCTATTATGGAGTGCATCACATATAAAATAATGTATATGGTAGGTGATAACTTTTGACTAAGATCTAAACTCAAGGATAAGTCACTTCCAACCTAGGAGACTAATGTACGAGTTTTTTTAAAAATAAATATTTATTTTATTTTTTTATTTTTATTTTATATTCAATATTATTGTGTTTTTTCTAGTTTTTTTCTTCAATTTGAAGGGAATAAATTTTTTTCTATTTTATTTTTCCTATTCAATATAAATAATGTTTTTTAAGTTTTTCCTTTCTATATAAAATGTTGTATGAGGAAAGTGATATATGGATGAATAAAATTAAGTATTTTGAAAATTATCCTATAACTATGATAGTCTTGGCCTTTGAGGGTTTATACTTATAATAAACTTCATTAACCTTTGCTCCCATCGATGTTAGTTGGCTATGTTTGTTGATATCATAACCTAATAATTTTTTGTGGTTACTTACTTGTTATGTGCTACCAGACAATCATTGTTGGAAGAGGTTGTAAAACAAAACATGTTTGTGTAGGGGAGGATGATGAGGTTTTCCCTTCGAAAAAAGACATTCAAGAACTAGTATATTGTTTTCGATTGTGTTAGTTAGTATTAGAGCCCAATAATTCATAATGATTTTGGTTAAAAGTTATAGCAAATATGTATTATAGCTCACATATTCCTATTTGGTAGTTGTTGTGTGCTATTATATAACTATGGTTGATAGAGATTACAGAATAGAATATGCTTGTGTAAGATGGGATGAGAGGGCTTCCCTTGAAAAAAAGTTCAAATAACTTGTGTTTTATTGTTATTGGAAATTATGGTGGTGAGATTTATGATGAGATGATTCATATAAAGGTATAATGTTAGGGATCTATGATGAAGTAACCTATACAAATGTATTGTGTTATGGATTTATGATAGGGTAGCTCGCACAAAGTATTTTCCTCACTAATACCTCATGACTTTTTCCAATACATAATGTATTTTAACTACATTTCTCATCCACGAGGAAATAAATCATATTATAGAAAATTATCCTTTTCAATTTCTTTCATAAAAAAAAAAACTCATACTTTGAAAACACATAGCGTACGTAAGGTTTCATGCGTACTAGCTAGCATGTCTAGTGAGGAAGGTAGGGGGTTTGTCTTCTAATCTATAAATTGGACATAAAATTCACAAGAAAGTAAAGGTGAGAAAGACTTCTTCATTCATATCTCCTTTTTTTTGTAGTAAAATATTATATATTACATCATTAGCTTTTAGATATCGTTTGTATTAAAGAAAATAATTATATGTGATTATGATGCTTGTGTTTAATGTTATTTTTAATACATGCAATAGGTTTTCTATTACTAATTTTCAACATATTAATCGAGAGAAATTAAATATCAGATAATTTGACCAAGCATGAAAATTTTAAGAATAATGATTTAATTGCCTAACTATAGCTTTTATTCAGTTTTATTTTGTTGTTTTTTATTATGTTATAAGCCAATTTTTAAATTTATATATATATATATATATATATATATATATATGTGTGTGTGTGTGTGTGTGTGTGTGTGTGTAATAAAAAATGAATAAAAAATAATTTGGGAAATGAGTCAAAACAACACAAATTGAAGGTCCGAATATTAATAAGGAGGGAATTATAAATTTGAAAGTCAATTTGACCAAAATTAAAAAAAATTGATAAGTTTAGGGATTTAATTAAAGTTTGAATTAGTTTAATTAATGAAATCAAGGGTTTAATTAAAAAAAATTGGGTTAAAATTGCAAGATATTAAAGTCAAAGAACTAAAGTGAATATGCAATGATCTTATAGGGGGGTTAGTTGGTTTATCCAAAGTAATTATGCAAGAATTAAAAGTTGATTAGTTAATTAATGACTGAATTAATTAAATTTAAAACCAAAGACTAAAGATTTATTTAGTATTTACAACTTATGAAACTTTTTTTTATAGAAAGAAAGGGTTAAAATGTAATTTTACCCTAATAATATTAACAAAGAACAAATATTCTTTACACAAGAATAAAAAAAAAATATTTATGATATAATCATTAATGAGAAATATATATCTCTTATACAAACATTAATATGATGAAAAGATGTTAGGTTATTGAAAATTTTTTATACAATTAGCATAAACATAAATGAGAAAAAATATTTATGATGTAATCATTAACAAAAAATAAATATTTTTTATACAAACATTAATATAATAAAAATACAGTAAGTTTTTGAATTTTTTTTATATAATTAGAGATGCAGGGAGAGAATGATTTAAATATATAATTGAGTAATAAGAATTGAGCTTTCTCCTAAAGTTTATGATATTGAACTCTTATTCAGGGTTATGTCATATGAAAGTTGAGTTTTTTTTTTTTAAATCTGAATCTATAAGTATAAATAATTTTTTTTAATATGCTATTTGAGATAGTCGGTGTTGGGATTTAAATTTTCTTTTAGACCCATTAAATATTAAATATGGGTTTATACTTTGAGAGGAAAGAACTAAAAGTATTTAATTAATTGCAAATACATGGAATACTGAGAAATTTCATTCAATTGCAATAGCTCAGCTAGGCAATGTAAAATTGCCACTATTAAAATAGATTTTAATAGATTTTAGGTTAGATAGATTTTAGTTTGGTCTGATTCCAAAAGATTGCCACTATAAAAATGTAAGATTTTCGTTAAGAAATATAAGATTCAAATCATGAAAGAAATGAATTGAAGATTTAAAAATATGGGAGGATTACCTTAAATAATGGCATGTTTTATATCCTAATTCAATGAATAATTGGTATTATCATCATGATTTCCATTTAAGAACTAATTTTGTAGATTGATTAGAAAGCTCGCTATTAAAAATTTAACTTGGGGTAAATTAAAGAAATTTTGTTGACATGACCAGAGTTTTTGTTAGTCCAAATCATTCCTTGATTGTTCTAAGAAAGTTGTAATTAGGCTTGGATTATGTAGGCTTGCAACATCGGGATTCAACAAAGCCCACATCCATTTTTCATTCAGGTTTCAGTTCATTTCAGAAAAATTAGCCTTTTGAATTCCATTGCTATGCTTTTTATCAACTTCTTTCTGGGCTAAGCTTGTTTATACTTCTTGGCCTTGATAAGAGGGCTCACAAATTATAAGCTTACAACCGTATCGAAAGCAGCCCAGATACTTGACAATTTCTTTTTCCTCCGAAGTGGAGGTGGAGGATACTTCGAGATGAAAAAGTTATTCACGTATGAAATGAATGAATTTTGAAGAAGTATTTTAGAAGATATATAGTTTCTTTCTGTCTTTTGTTATCTTGAAGAGGCCCATTTTATGTTGTATAAACATGGAGAAATGTTTTCAGAAAACCTTATTAAACATGGCCAAATCCATGAGAGAAGTGTATAGGCACTAGGATCCTTTTCTTTTGCCAGCCAGTTATTCGGTATTGCATCAAGCAACTAGAGATCGAATCCTGCTCAAATAAAAAATAAGAGAAGGAGAAAGAATTCTCTCTCTCGAGTAACATGTCCATTATGTTAAGGTGCATACACGTATAAAACTTTTCTCTTCTCTTTTCATCTCAGTTCTTTTCAGCTAGCTTCGGTGATCCTGCACTACTGAACTTGTCTCTTAAATTCAATGAACTTTCGCTAACGCTATCGTGACATAAGTATTTGGGTAGAAGCAGAACATGATTTTAATATATATTTGGTGCAATCTGGACTACAACAGGTGGATATGTGGAAAATTGTAGCCGTTTGCTTTAAAAAGAATGATGTACGTAATTGGTGGCAGCTTTTTGTTTGGTATAAAACAACACCACAAATCAAGAAGATCTATACGCAAAGACGGCTTCTTTCCTTTTCTCCCTTCTACAAATCCATGAAAGAAGTAGGCACTTGTAGTTGTCTTGGCAAAAAGCTGAAGAAACGATGAAGAGTCATTGCATGCCATATTTTTTCAAATTACACCACGTATATATTATACTCCATTTCTTTGTCAATGAGCTTTGTTGTGCTAATGACTAGAATCACTGAGGAATAAATTGTATTAGCTTTAACGTTATGGCTATGCGAATGGATTCCACTATCCTGCTGATCTTGCCTCTTCGTGTGAAGGAATTGCAGTGGTCGGTTCATCAATTTGTGAGTGGGACAAGCTTGCAGTGGAATGTGACATTATCACTAGAGTTACAATTT